GCAGCAGGAGCAGGCTGGCGGGCAGGGCGGCCAGCAGGAAGGTGCTGCTCGTGTAGGGGTTCCTCACTGCAAGAGGGGCAGGCGGTGGGCATGGCTGGGCCCGCACCCAAACCCCTCCCTGGTCCGTCCAGCCCAGCTCTTACCCACACGACACTGCAGGCAGCCTTTGGTGTCAGGAATCTTGGTGGACAGGGCAAAGCGTCTGTAGGGGTGACAACCAGGGCACACACCATAGGTGAGGCCCGACAGACCCCCAGGAGGTGGGTACTGTCATCTTCTCTGCCTTACAGGGAAGAGACTCAGGCTCAGAGAGGCACAGCGGCTTGCTGTGAGCCACAGCTGTGAGAGGCACGAGGGCGGAAGCCGGTCTCATGGCTGCAGCACCCACCTCTACAGCCTGGAGTGTCCGTCCAGTCCAGGGGTTCAGATCTCAGGATTACCTCTAACTGTGTGACTTGGAGCAAGTCACTTCGCCTCCCCATGCCTCGATTTCCTCATCTGTAGAATGGGATGACGGGCCACCCTCCTCGTAGGGTCCCAGTGAGGAGTCCGTGGGTTCACACAGCAGAGCCTGGCCCATCCCGTGCACTCACACAGGGCTAGCTGTTATCACCCCGTGTTACTACTTTCCCACCTATTTCCAATCACTGGAAACGGAGAAATGAACGAAGAGATGATGCAGCTCCAGCTCCACTAGGCAGCCAGCGCTCACATCCCATCCCGGCCCCACAGGACCCGGGTCATGGATGAGCCAACAGGCCCAGCGACGAAGACTGGCAGGGCAAAGGCAAAAGGCCTGCCCCCAGCTGTTTTAGCTGAGTCCACGGCCCTGGGCGGCCAGTGCTGGCTCACCTTGGTGCCCAGAAAGAATCGGGGTCCTTGCCTTGGTTACTGTCTGTCCCCTAAGCCCCTAAGGGACCTTCTGAGCCTGTATCTTTCTCTGGGGAACAGGGCTACACATCAGCAGTGCTGCCACCACCTCCCAGGGACCCCAGCACTGTCTGTGCCCTCTGCCAGGATGTGGGCCCCGCCGAGGAAGCCACCGCCTGCCTGTCCGTCTGTCTTTCTCTGCCCCTGTCCTCACTCCTCTCTCCCCCCTTGTTCCTCCCACTCTCTTCCCCAACCGGCCTTCAGCAGATGTTTCTGTGTTTGATTTTTTTCCTCCAAAGCCATTCTGGTTCTCCGCTCTTTACATTTGAAACGGACACCGGGACTCCGTGATTTCCCAAACACACCCCCCAAGCTGCCTGTGACACGGGCTCTCATGGGCCTGTTTCCTGTAGGTCCTGGGCCACAGCAAAGACTGGCTTGGGGACTGAGCTCAGGAAGCCCCGAGGCCGGGGCTGCAGATGTGGTCCTGGCGCGAGTCCGCTGCAGGCAGGGCATCTCCCCAGCTGTGGAGCCACTGGCCTGGCCGCCCCGCCTGGCCCACAGGCGTCCACCACCACCTGGTCATAACAACAGCCAAGCCCACAGCCCGGCCACCCCCTCGAGCCTCCACCTCGCTCAGCCAACAGAGGACCCGCTTGCATGTCTCAAACTCAGTGTGACAACATGGAGCTCTGCTCCACCCACAGCTGCTGACAGCTCCATCCTTCCGTTGCCCGGCCAGGAACCTTGCCTCCTCTTTCTCTTCCATCCACCAATTGTCAGGAAATCCCGTTGGTTCAACTTTCAAATTAAAGCCAGAATCCGACCGTTTATCACTTCTGTCCCTGCTCCCCCAACCCAAGCCGCCATCTCCCATCTGATTCTGACAGGTCTCCTGCTTCCACCCTCATCCCCTCCGGTCTATTCTCAACACAACAGCTGGAGCGACTCCGTGAAGACTCGGCGCACACAGCTCCGCAGTGGCCCTCGGCAGCTCTGAGTCAAAGCCAAGGGCCTCACTGTGGCCACAGGGCCCTTCTAGGTCATCTCCCTCTGACATACAGAGGGGTCCTTCTACAATGCTCACAGCACTGCTGCCCGTTGGACAGAGCTCAGATCCTGGGCCTGGCATCGAAGGGAGCTGCCCCCTGCCACCTGTGCAGCTCCCTCTCCGGCCACTCCACCTGCCTCCCAAAGGCCCAACACCTCATACCTCCCGGGCCCGACCGCATTCGCACTTGCTCTTCCCTCTGCAGGGAAGACCTCTGTGCACTTCCAAACGCCATGAGCTCACCTGCCCTCTCTGAGGCCTCCCCACCCCCACCCCCACCCCCAGTTCAGCTCAGTGCCAGGTACTGAGTCCCAAGGACTGACTCATTTGATCGTAGTCTCCAAGCCCAGCCTAAGACCTAGTCCTAGCGCGTACTAAGTGCTCAGTAAACGTTTGCCCCACATCCTAAGAACCACAGCTCCCACAATCGGCAAAGCAAAGCAATTTCACATCCACTACTTCCTTCTCGCCTGCCAACAGGCCTGGGGTCAGGGGAGGGGAGGCTCTCAGTGCATTGACAGATGAGGAAACGGACTCAGAGAGGCAAAGTGACAGGTCTAAGATCACAGCAGGTCTGAGATCTAAGGTCCCAGGGACGAGCACGGCCAGAGTCCAACTCTGGCTCTGCCCCGCTGCCTCCCCGCTACGCCCCTCTCCCCTGCACCCCCAGGGTCCCCAACCTGGGGATGATGCGCTGGGTGAGGCGGTTGGTGGGGATGGAGAGGGGAACCTGCTGCTGCAGTCGCCGCTGCTCAAATAGGCCCGGGAGGTCGTGGGACCAGATGTGCGTGGATTTCCCTGCCAAGGAGGGAGGGGGGTCAGAGCGCTGGCGGGCAGGGTGTCCCCCTGCCTGCCCCCCCCTCCGCCTGCTCCAATGCGTACCTGAGAGTGACAGCAGCACGTTGTTCACACAGTAGAGCCAGGCGCAGCGGTGTGAGATCAGCTGCAGGCCACAGAGCGACAGATGGACAGGCGGTCAGCACCCTGGGCCCCCCAAGGCCCTCCACCCTCCGCAGCCCGCCGGGCCTCACCTTCTCCAGGGTGTCCTCGTGCAGTTCGTGCAGGTTGAGGGTGTAGATGCCTTCCTCGGCCCCCACCACCAGGAACTGATCTGCAGTTTGAGTACAGGGTCAGAGGTCAGTCGGGAGCCCTGGCCCAAGCGGGGGGGTTCCCTGGCTCCTGCTTCCTGCCCGCCCCCGGCCTACCCCGGGTGCCAGGGTGAATCCAGGTGACAGCAGCATGGATCCGCAGGGGGCAGCCATTGAAGACCTTGGAGAAGCAGGCACCCATCTGGGGGAGGCAAGAGGCTGGTAAGGAAGCTCCGGGCAGCGGGCGGTGGGGCTGCAGGCGGCGGGCGGACACTTACGTGCACCTTGGGGGTCGGGGGCAGCCCATGGCAAGACGATCTCTGGGAGGGAAGGCGGAGTCAGGACGAGGTGCCCCCGTGGCCTCCCATCTCCCCAGTCCCTCTGCGGCCCCCTCACCTCAGGATCCTCCTGGTGCTTCATGGTGGCCCAGGCGGTGGGGAGAGGCGGGGGGCTGTCCGAGCCCGAGAGAGGTCGGGGTGGGGTTCCTGCAAGCACAGGCCCAGGGTACATTCCAGGCCCAGCGTCCCCCACCAGGCCCTCTCCTGCCCCCCACCCTCCTGCCCTGGGCCTGCTTCCTGGTCCCCCGAGCCTGGGACTCACCTGGGGGGCTGGACAGAGAGTCCTCAGCTGGAGGCTCATGTGGGGCTGGCCCCAACGGGGCCCGCTTGATGGTTCCTATGGCATCGTCTGGAGAGTCCAGCTCCTGGGGGGAGGGTCCGGGGGCCCAGCCCAGCTGTTAGCAGGTCACCTTGTAAACTGGTCCCATCCCAGCTGCACCCTCGACAGCACTGTCCCCACCCCAGCTCCAGCTTCCCTCCGCCCGCACCTGGAGTTCCAAGGCTGGCCGGATGGTCAGGCTCCTAGGCGGGCAAATCAGAGGGAAATGAGGTGTGAGCTGTGACTGGGCCCGCCCGGCTGCCCCTCGCCTCCAGGCCCAGCCCTCACCTTTCCTCCAGGGCCTCCTGGACTGACTGCAGCAGGCTCCTGGCAGGGAGGGGACGGTCAGGGTGCAGCCTGCCCTGCGCCCCCGCCCTCTCCGGCAGCTTCCCGCCCTGACTCACCCGCTCAGCTCCTCCTTGCCCAGCAGGGTCCACTCCTCTTCCCACTGTGGGGAAACCGAGGCAGGAAGATGGGGAGAGAGACAGAAAGGCAATGTGAGAGGGTGATCAAGAGGCTGTGGGAGAGAGAGAAGACAGACAGATGGAAAGGGAGACGGCAATAGGCGAGAGGCTTGTGAGAGAGAGAGGAAGACAATGAGAGGCAAAGAGATGGTGAAAGAGGCAAACAGCGGAGAATGAGACAGAGACACCAGAGAGCCAGGCAGAGAGAGACAGACTGTGCGAGTGACGAGATGCTGATAATGAGAGACAGCGAGGCAGCAGAGACGTGAGTCAGGCAGCCAGTGACAGGCAGAGATCGAGGCAGAGAGAACTGTGCCGAAAGGGAGGGTGGGGGCTCGGCCGTGTGTGGTCACCTCGCCACATTCCAGATGACTGTCCAGGACTTGGCCCTGGAAGGAGCCCCCAGCCCCCCATGTCCCTGGGCGGGACAAACCTGCTTGGACAGCTTCCCCAGGCCCAAGGGCCAGCGATTCAAAGACCCTTTGATGAGGTGCTCGCCCTCCAGCACAGCACCCAGCCCACCCCTGCACCCCCTCCCGCACAGCCAGCCTCACCGGCTCAGGTAGCGGGTCCGTTTCCTTCCTGCGTGGGGCGCCAAACTTCACCTGGTGAACTGGGGTGCCCAGTGTACGTAGATTAGGGGGGGAATGAAGACTCAGAACTTACCCTCACACTCATACCAAATCCACTCACACAGCCAGCCCCCTAGAAAATCCACACACATGCCCCCCAAATCCACACACAGCCCCCCAGAAAATCCGCACACAGCCCCCCCAAAAAGTCCACACACATGCCCCCCAAACACACACCCCCAAAAAAATCCACACACAGCCCCCCAGAAAATCCACACACACCCCCAAAAAAATCCACACACAGCCCCCCAGAAAATCCACACACACCCCCAAAAAAATCCACACACAGCCCCCCAGAAAATCCACACACACCCCCAAAAAAATCCACACACAGCCCCCCAGAAAATCCACACACACCCCCAAAAAAATCCACACACAGCCCCCCAGAAAATCCACACACACCCCCAAAAAAATCCACACACAGCCCCCCAGAAAATCCACACACACCCCCAAAAAAATCCACACACAGCCCCCCAGAAAATCCACACACAGCCCCCTAGAAAATCCACACACACAGCTCCCCAGAAAATACACACACACAGCCCCCCAGAAAATCCACACACACAGCCCCCCAAATCCACACACAGCCCCTTCCCCGACTTACACTGGATCTCTGAGGGGGTCCGCTCAGCCTGGCCGTGCTGGCCCCGGGAGTGAATGGTGTCTGGAAACATGTCGTATGTCTAAGAAAGAACACAAACAGTGGACACACACCCGGCACTCACCTCGCCCCACCTCCAATGTGCTTTACACACAGACTCTGTAGATCATCATGAGATTAAATGGCACCTTCACTCCATAATCGAGAAAACCAGCACACAGAGGCAAATAACTGGCCAAAGATCACACAGAGAGCAGATGGCCGAGGGAGGGTCGTGGTCAGCCTGGGTCAAGGGCGGGCACCCACCAAGGGACAGTACAGGAGGCAAGGCCGGCTCAGGGAAGATTCCTAGTGGGTGGCTCACCTGGAGGGAAGCTCCTTATGCTGGACATATTCCAGTTAAAGGGACCTTGGCCTATGTCACCTCCGCACTCCCTACAACCAGGCCAGACCAAGACTCCCTGCCCCAGCCCCACTCACCTCCAGGTCACAGTCCTCCGGGGAGAGGGCGCCCAGGTGGGGGTCACTGGCCTTGTCCAACAGCTGGGTGAGGAGAGCCCGAGGGAGCTGTTGCGTTGTGAATGGGTGCTGGAGGATTGAGGGGGGCTCAGGTTGGTCTCTGGCCCCCAGGCCCCTGCTTTCAAGCATTGAGCCCCTGCCCCCACCCCCTGCCTCCCACCTGTAGAAGCTTCTCTGCTGTCGGCCTCTTCTTGGGGTTCTTGGTCAAGGCCAGCTTGAGGAAGTGGTGGAAATTCTGGGTCCTAGTGGGCACAAGAGCCCCCAGACCCAGGTCAGCCCTCAGGCAGGGCATCCTGCCCACTGCCCCCTGCCCCCGGCTGCCACTCCAGAGGAGTCTGCTGGGCCTGCCCAGGAAAGGGCCAGCCCGAGGCCCGGGGCAGCCGGCCTGAGCAATACTGCTGTTGCGACATGGAAGCTCCTCCAACAACAACCACTGTCCACACCAGCCATGGCCCCGAGATGCGCCCCAGGCCCCTCCCACGGATGGTCTGCAGAATACCAGAGGGCAGGGCTCTTGAGGCTGCGCCCTGGGAGTTGGCAGATGGCTCCTCTGCTCCCCTGAGGACTGACTGAACAGGGGGGCCCAGCAAGGAACATGGGCCTCACCAGCGAGTCTTGTCCCTCAGCTTGGGCGGCTGGAAGCTGCTCTTGGACATGAGCATCAAGGCCCTATGGACAGCAAAAGGTCAGGGCTGGGGGTCAACAGGGCCCCAGGGGTCAGGCAAGGGGCAAGTGTTCAGCTGACCTCATGGGGTGCAGGTGGAACAGAGGGGGCTGCAGCTCGCCCAGCTCAATGGCTGTGATGCCCAGGGCCCAGACGTCACACAGCTCGTTGTAGCCACCTTTGCGCTCCACAGCGGCCACCTCGGGGGCCATCCTAGAGGTGGGGTCACAGATGGGATGGCCGGGTGCCCCACCTGTGGCCCCTACCCCCTCAGCCCGAGACGCAGCCTCACCAGTACGGAGTCCCAATGAAAGACCTCCTCTTGGCCACAGATGCCGTCAGCTCGCCCGACACCCCAAAGTCAGCTGCAGGGAGAAAGAGCTCCTGGAACCCGCCCTCTGGCTGCCACGCCCCACCCACCTCTACGGCTCAGACTCAGGATGCAGCTGGCGGGTTCAGACAACAGGCAGACCAGGTTCAGCTACAGCTGCCAAGGCCAGGGCCCCCTCCTGGGAAGGGCCAACCACCTTCAGTTGCTGACCAAGTGCCAGGCCACACGTTGGACTCCATGCCGACCCAACCACATCAGCTTGGAGTAGGAAGGGAAGACTCTTCCACTTTTCTCAATGGGGACGTTGAGGCCCAAGCTGGAAAGTGACTTGCCCAAGGACACCCGGCACTTGAACGCAGCTCCCACAGAACCCTCACCCTGATCGTGTCCCCGGGGTACTGACCCAGCTTGACATCTCCCTGGAGGGTGAGGAGCAGGTTGGCGCCCTGCAGGAACGGAGACCAGAGAATCCCATCAGGAGCTCCCGAGAGCCTCCTCCTCCCTCCTCCCGCCCCCAGTGCCCAAGGCCAGACCCCTACCTTGATATCTCTGTGGATCTTCCCCTGAGAATGCAAGTGGTGCAGCCCCTGGGGACCAAGAAGAGCCCCTGAGAGCAGCTACGCAGCACATCCCACCTTTCCTGAGCCCTCTCTGAGGACGGGGCCCCCCACCCAAGCCGCTTCCTCCTCCCCTCTCCCCAAACAGGAAGTGACTGAGCCAAGAGGGAAATGGGCTGCTTCCGGCAACAGGGTTGGGGCCCCTTCTCCCACGACCCACCGCCCCTCACGCCAGCCCTGCCTGAGGCACTCCACCCCCCACACTGGCCAGCTGGGCTCCCTGCCCACAGCTCCTGGGCGTTGGGGTGCGAGCAGCCTTATGGGCCCAGCTACCTTCAGTGCCTCTCGGCAGACGTAGGCAATCTGCCGTTCCTCCAGGGGCCCAGTGGCTGAAACGGAAGGGTAAGAGCTGGCATGGAGGTCTGGGGGATCTGCTGACCCTCCCAGGCCACCCTCCCTCAAGGAAGCCACAGGCGGTCTGGGACACCGAGCCCAGGGAAAGGCAGTTATTTCTCTCAAGGTCACACAGCCAGCGAGGAGGAGCCTTGGGCCCCAGCTCTCCCCTCCTGCCACAGGTTGGGGGTGAGGGGGGGATGGAGACTGTGGACGAAAAGCAGCAGCAGCAGCCCGTGCCCTATGGGGCCTGGAGTCCTGGCCCTCACCATGGTAAATCTCCTGCAGGGAGCCCCCTCCGCAGAACTCCATGCAGATCCACAAGCGGTCATTCCTGGGGGAACACAGCGCCGGTGGGCACAGGGCAGGGCCACACGGGGCTGCCTGGGGTGGGCAGGGGCGCAGCCTCACCTGAGATAGCTGCCAATGTAGGCCACCACATTGGGGTGGTGGCACTCACGCAGGATAGTGATTTCCTGCTGGAGGGAGCTGATGTCGTCCCCTGGGGAGCACAGGGCATTGGGGGTGGGGGGAGAAGCTCAGAGGCGTCGCCCTAACTCAGCGCCCTCATCTTCAAAGGACCCCTGAGTTCTGCCTCCCTCCAGGCCAGACAGGTGCCGGGGACACCACCCCCGGGGACTGCCTCTCAGCGGGCCTCCGAAGTGTCAACTCTCCGCCCCTCGCGCCAGGCTCCCTGCCCTTCCTCCCGCGGAGGCCCGGCCCGGCCCTCACCTGGGTCCAGCTTGACGATCTTGACCGCGGCCAGTTCGGACGTGACGGTGTCGCGGGCCTAATGGGACAGAGTGGGAGCCGCGGGATGAGGAGGGGGCGGGGCTGG